ATAAGAAAATACACAAAAAAGTGTGCAAAAGTTTAGCAAATACAAGTTTTAGGTGGTCTCCTTAATGCAACAGATGATGGTAGTGTGAAAAGCCATTTTAGGAATGGGTTTAAGAAAACTCTAGGAATAGGGTTTAGCTTTCAATTTAACTTGAATTATATAACTCAAATATTTTTTTTTCATTAAAATGCTTTTCACATAAGACAGAATTTAGTGAAAACGCCCATGGTTTACAAATTATCTTAATAATTTAGCATCTGTTGATTTTCTAACCGAAAATGAAAAAACTTATCTTCCAAAGAACTGTTATTTATTTTTATTATATAATTAGCTCTTAAATTGTCCAAGGAAACACTTAACCACATTGTCCACATTAACCACATCTTTTTTCAAACAAACACTTTAGATATGTATTTTAATTAATGTTAAAGTGCATGATTGGGTTTAACTTGATAGATTGATGATTTTCAATTTTAATAAAGCATTAACCACATGGTAAAATAGTTGTTTTAATAAGTTATACTTGCTATATATTATATAGTAATACATATTTAAGTCTTTTCTGGTCACAATAAAAGTACAGGTAATTTTAACCTCTTATTTTGCAGTTTTTATTTGAAAGTTGTTGAAATATCATATGAATATATCAATTATTATGTGCTGTTTTTAACAATAGAAAATAATTTTCAAAACTGTAAACACAACTTTATGAAATAAAACAAAATCAAATAACTATATTTTTATATTCATTTAGTTTTTTTAAGCAATAAAGAATTGCATCAAATTCTAAAAAAAAAAAAATTTTTTTATATTTTTAGAACCTGAAAAATTGCAAAGCCATAAGTGCAAATTAAGATTAAACTTTTTATTGGTCACATTTACAATTAGCTTCAATGTTTAGAATTCAATATTTAGAATACTGCATCAATATTTAAATACTGCATCAATATTTAGAATACTGCATCAATATTTAAAATACTGCATCAATATTTAGAATACTGCATCAATCTAGAACTCACATTCTTTGGGTATTGGTAAAACCAAGCAGATTAAGAATATTCAGCGTAAAGCTTTGCACTTATTCTTTTACTCAAAAGGTCATATGATAAAAGAATAAGTGAATTATAGCTACCTCTAAAGAAAAGAATAGGAGAGAATTTAAATGAATTAAAGATTAATCCATGAAGATCAATCCACTTATTAAAAGTAGACAGCATGATCTGTATAATAAAAAACAACACTAAAAATATATGAAATTTTCTTTAAACACCATTTCAAATTATAGAATTCTCAACAGTTAGTGTTGGTGATGTGAACATTTTCGAGAATACAGTTGTTCTGATATTATTAGATGTTACATATTATTATAAAAATATAATATATACTATTAAATATTGTTATTTAAAGATAAATTTTTATTGCAGCTAATATTTAAAACCCTTATTGTTGTTATTATATCATTATCATTGTAAACAAAAAGTAGTGAGAATTATTAACATATAGTATTATAATTTAGATAATTGATTTGGTAAGTGGTAATAATTGTGGACCTAATGAAAAAGGTGAAGTTTGGGTAAGAGGTCCTCAAGTTATGAAAGGTTTGTAATCATGTTTGTAATCATCATAAGTTTCTTGTTATTGTTTTTTTTATTTAGGTTATTGATCTTTTTAAACATACTTTTATTTTATCAACTGTAAATTAGTGTACGTTTCGGTTATACAATGACCTCAGTTATACAATAATTTTAATCTCAGTTATACAATAGTTTTGATCTCAGTTATGCAATAGTTTTGAACTCAGTTATGCAATAGTTTTGATCTCAGTTATGCAATAGTTTTGATCTCAGTTATATAATAATTTTGATCTCAGTTATGCAATGTTTATTACTGTGTTCGTACTGTGTAAACTAATCTTACATAGTCCAACTATATCACTGATTATTATTTGTGATTTTTATAGTCAATTTTATTCATAAAAAAACAAGTTGAAACTTAATAAATTGAAGATAAAAACCTTTTTTTATAGAAATATTTTTTATTATTGAAATTCATGAACATTAAAAACTCTTTTAGACTATTATCTATTGTTATTGTCTCTTTAATTTTGATAATTTTAAGTCTTCAGTATAAGCTTGAAATATTAGTTAAAAATTTATATATTTTATAACTATTGTTTGCATAAATGTTTTATGTTATTCATTATTTACTTTTTTATATTAATATATTTAGTAATACTAAATATATTACTTTTTCATAAATTTTAATATATATTTTTTTAAATAATTATATTGAAATATATATATTTTACGTTTGATGTTTATGGTTTTTGCTTTTATGGTTTGGATGGGTTTCCATAATGCAATTTTCTTATTTAAGTATGTCATTATGGAAAAGTTGAAGCACTTTTTAACAATTATATGTTTTCTGACCTTGACTCGTTTTGCAGATCAGAACTGAGTATTTTTTTTTTTTTGTAAGACTTCTACTAGGAAGATTACCT